AAGGGTACCTGGCCACACATGCCTCCTTTTTTCATGTCCGTGCAAAAGTCTGTGGTGTACACTCTAGCACTGCTAGGGTACTTCCACTTGAGCATTCCATGCCACATGATGTCCATTCCAAAGAAAAGTGGGAGTAAAGGAGTAAGGATAGGGGTTTGGACACACCACCCACCCAAGCTGGATGACATCAAGAAGCATGACCACACTGCCTGCTGTTAGCAGGGTCCCTGCTGAAGCAGTAAGTGGAGATTTTTTGACCAATGCTTTGGTTGGGAACTGCCAGGCTTTCTTCTTCTTCTTCCCCTTTCCAGCTTGGAGAAGATAGGCGACAGCTGCAACTTACAACTCATAGGGGGTGTCTGTCTTTCTCCATGCAGGAATTCTATCTACAGAGTCAGGTCTCTAACTCACTGAGCTATCCAGCCAGCTTTTAAATTGTGTATGCATTTGTATGTGAGCATGCATGGGTGCATCCACACGCAAATATATGTGTACATTATTTGCCACCGTTTCTCCTTTTTGATTTCAGAAACGAATCCAATTAAACCCTTCCCATTCGATATGGAACAGCAAGTGATCATCACTTTCTGCCATGATATTATTCATGTGAATCTGGTTGAAGTCTTTGCAAATCCATTTAACAAAAAATAAAAATTAAAAATGCATGTTTATGAAGTTATATTTAGTCCAGTGTAATTCTGCTTGTTGTAATTCTGTCCTCTTGCAAGTATTCTTTATTGTATATAGAGCTTTTCATAAAGATGCTATTATGCTTCTATAATAGCAGGATTGTTGGCAACAGAAATGATGCGTGTTTTAAAAACAAGAGAAGATTTGCATCTGCCCCTATATCAGATGACATTCCCTTGCAAAGCCATTTCCAAGATCAGTCAGGAAACTGTGACACATACTTATAATATGCAATTTTCTTATTATAAGTTCCATTAACATTATTATCTCTCCTCACAAGGAATATGGCACAGGAGTATTAAAGTGATTGCCTTGAAGTTTGTGTATCTTCACTCTTTCCATTAATAGATGTGCACATGCCAACTGAGATCAAAGCTGTAGGCAGCCAGGACCCTGGAACAGGAGACTGTCGGGATTGGGTAAAGACCCCTCAAAGATGAGTGTAGGGAGAGCGGGGTCCTGCCTCAAAGGGTCTGGCAAAATTAGACCAGATCTGCTGTGTAGTTCTCTCAGGAACCACAAATTAAAGGTATACTTAAAATGATCTAGTGCATAAAAAAGACAGTCTTCTTGTAGCTCATGTATCCAGAAGTAAAGGATAGGAGCAACTAAGACTGTCATCCATTCTATGGGCACTTACTTGGAAGGAAGTCTCAGAACATGCTAGATGATCCAACTTACTCTTGATTTGCATCTTCATACTGTGTGACTGTAGAAAACTGAGTTGGAGAGTAACTAAATTTCCTGGGGCATGTGAAGGGTTTAACCTGGCATTTTTGATAATTAAACACTGTTCCTAGAGACAGTTGATTCTGTAGAAAACTAGTAAAAAATTGGAGGTGGATGTCATTGTTACATGCATAAATGATGGAAATAAATTGTATGGGGATATGTCCTTTCCTGCACCTCAAACTGCAGCTTTTAGGCCTATGGGGACAATTACTTATATTAAGTACAGTACTGTATATTGAATCAAGTCCTTCTTATTTGATCCACTTAGAATGTATTGGGTCATTTAGTGCAAATCCTTGGTGTTATTTACTCAGTATTTAGCCATATTCTGAGAGCAGTATTTAACCGTCTGGATATAAGGGTGTCTTCCCCCGCCATTTACCTGGTAGACAGTGGGAGTGCTGTAAATATAATATATCTTGACTTCAGCAAAGCATTTCACAAAGTGCCCCATGATATTCTGATTAGCAAGCTAACTAGGTGTGGCTTGGATAGAACAACTATTATGCAGATACATAATTGGTTACAAAATCTTACTCAGAGTGTTTATCAATGGCTTCTATTCAAACTGAGAGGAGGTCCCAAGTGGGATAACACAAGGCTGAGTCTTGGTCCCTGTGCTCTTCAACATTTTAATTCATGACTTGGATGAGGGGTTGCAGGAAATGCTGATCAAATTTGAGGATGACACAAGATTGGGAGGAGTGGCTAATACCCTGGAAGAGAGAAAAAAAGTTGAAAAAGATCTTGATATGTTCAAGCACTGAGCTGAAAACAACAGAATGAAATTTAAAAGGGGTTAGTGCAAAGTTCTACATATAAAAATCCCAAATGTACTGTTACAAGGTGGGGGGATGCTTGGCTCATTAATACTGGATCCTGGAACTGGAATGGTTTTGGATTCCTGCATAGAACGGAGAGTTAAGACTTGATGGTCTTATAGGACCCGCCCCCCAAATTCCATTCTATCATCCTAAGAGTGCCTGCCCTCCTCTTGCCTTTTAGACTAGAAAAAAAGACTCCACATGCTGCAACTCTAGTATAATGCTTCAAAGAACAGTATCACTCTGGGATCAATTATACCAGCTAGAAAGCAAACTCTGAGTGAGGAGCACAGAACTTCATTGTTTATGGCTTCTGTCTGAGAGGGTTTTGCTTTAATGTTAAGATTGCCTCCTGTCAGAGACCTTGGAAATGAAAACCCTCTTTATGCATCTTCTGCCTTACAGCTATCAAATAACCCTTCAAGTTATTTTTCCACCTGGATTTAGTAAATAAGAGGTGAGAGGTATCTTTTGAATTTAAACATGCAACAACTTCACCAAGAGGTGGGGGAAGTCTGTATATCAGACATCATAACATCTATGTGAATAATTTCATCCCAGCAGGGCAGACTTTTTCCAGCCTAAGGAAGGAGTAATGCTCCCTCCATATTGGCCCTTGACAGATCCTGAAAAGGAACATAATCTTTATACATTACTCAGGATGTGGCAATAATGTAGAAACATACCAAACAACCACAACTTCCCACTCAAGTGGTTTTTCTAATCCTGATGCTTTTCCTCCTTTCCTGCTATTTCAGTTTGACTTTTGACTTCTAACCACTCGTATCACTACCGGAAGGAAATTGCATTCTATATGGGACATGAACATGTTGCCTTTGGCAACACATGGTGTTTAGTGAAATGTTACCTGTGACTTTTCTAGGTCCAAGTCTCCCCAACTGCTGCCTTGGAAACTGATGCATGTAAATCAAAGACTGTAAATCAATGAGATTTTATATTAGATGTGAGTTTCCAGTACTTGATTAGAAAAATCTTTACCCTTTGATTTTTCTGCAGCTTATCTGAGTACATGCTTTTAAACTGTGCATTTTACAATGTGTTCTTCTGGTGCTGCAAAGGAACCTGCACTGTTCCAGTGTACTTTCTGTTGAAACGTATTGATCTCCTATTTTTGCTATGCTAAGCTAATTTAAGAAGAAGGTGGATGAGTCTTCTGAGAAATTGCTTCATCTCTGACATCCTGCTGCTACAAAGATCCTGTCTAAATATGGTTAGCGGAACTTGTGGGCTTGTCAATTACATTGCATTACATTTGATCTTGTGTTTACCTTGTATTTTGTTTGAAGAGACCAAGAGCGAGACTAAAATAAGTCACTTTTCATGAGGCATCAAATTTCCTGCCATAAAGGAGTGAAACAAATGTTGTAGCGTTGTACAGCTTTTAGAGCACTGGACAAGGACATGAGCCACAAAACTCACTGAGAGATCTTCAGACACTGTGTCCTTCACCCTAAGCTACCTCACAGTATAAAGTGTGTGTTTTGGGGGCGACTTTCATCTCAGAGGTGGAAAGATGGGCTATAAATATGAATAACAATAACAAAAAAAGTCAAGAATATATTAATACAATTCTTTTCCTAGATCTAAATGGAAACATATGCCATCAGTCAGCATTCACAGCATGCCTCGATGTTTTCAGTTTTCACACAAGTTTGTGCTGAAACAGAGAACATTTCTGCCTGGGAAACATTTCATAGAATATAAATAGAACAAGTTGAAAGGTTGCAAATGAACATATAAAGAAGCTGATAGGGTGTAAAGGAACCCATGGTGATTAAGTCTATGGTGAGATGACTGAATAGACATTTTACTAGGAACGGTTGCAATGTCTTATTGTGCTGACATATCACGAATCTACTTGCAGGAGCAACGTCGTGGAAAGTTAAAGAATTCTTCCCACCCAACCCCACTGAAAGAGCATTGACATGTGACCTAGCAATAAAGTTGGTGTGGATGTGTTCAAACATAAGAAAGGATTTTGTAGGCTGTGGATTATGTGAAATTTTCCTCTCATTAAAAAAAAATCAGTGTGAACATAGAAAAGGGGTTAAATTACACTCCAATGACAGCTTGTCTTCCAGTAACACAGTTAGCCATAGCTATGCTAATTTTCTCCAGGAGCCCAAATGATCTCTCCAGTAGGCTATTCAACAGCACAAGTCTCAACTGACATCTTCAAGAGACTTCCATAAACCCAGAAATCAGCAAATACAGATTGCAAGGCATGTGGCTCTCTCATTCATCTGGCAGCCAATTATTTCCTTACCAGTGTCAGGACGGAATTAATTTCCCATAGAGAATCAGGTGCATACTCCTTCTCTAAACTTATTATATCAGTTAATGATCTTCCCTTGGACAACCCACATTAGCACAAATCAAACCTGTTTCATTATTACCCTCTGTTTTTTCCCTAGAATTGCTGAACGTGGTTCAGCTTTACATTATTACTGGGAATTAGAGCCCATGATGTTAAGGGTCTTCTTACTTCAACATTTTTTTTATCCTACTACTACTTCTCCTTTCTTTTACATCTTATGCCACCCAGTCCAAGCTTTGGTTCTTTATACTAAAAACAAGTAAAGCAGCAATATTCATTGTGAATTCTACTTTCTTATGTGCTGTGCTAGCTTTTATTCTCAGTATTTTTTAAAAAAGTAATGGAGTGGCTGAAAGAAAATAAGGCTATAGTTTTTCCTAAATATAAAAAAGAGGTATTTTTGTTTTGTTTTACAGCTTTCATGAAGAATGGACTGGAGATATTACAGGAGCTGGCTGCTGTGCAGAACATGATTTACAAAGCAAATTAGCACAAACCAGCAATGCACATAGTAAACAGTTAGTACCCGGGCACAGTGTTGCCTTGCATACTATCAGCACAATACACGTTGTAGAGGTCTATGGTCATGAAAAGGATACACTTGGGACATTGGATGCACATTTACCTGGGTAAAGAACCTCAGAAATGCCGTTAAGGATTTGTGGGACTACGGCAAACCATGAAGACATAAACCTTGTGAATGTGCCTTAAAGATTGCATAGAAATAAATGACTGGATGATTCCTATGTATCTGCAACAGTAAATGTCAAGAGTATAGCTACAAAATTAACAGATCTGAAAATGTTATTGGAAAAATGATTCAGTTTGTTTTCAATCTAATAAAGTATACTGATACTTTACAGCAAACCACCATTTCTGCAGTTAGCTAAGAACAGTGATCACATCAAGAAAACAACAAGAAACTGTTTGGTACGTTTCTGTATATCAGTTCTTAACAGGTGTTTTTTTTCTGCATGAGAACTCATAGCCAGAAGAACTGGAACACATGACTTCAAATTTATTTTATCCCCTCTTTTTATATACGTATCAGGAAGAATTAAAATGTATTTTTCTACAATGATTTAAAAAAAATTACAATAAAGTTTTTTATTATTAAGAAAAATTGTCAAATGGACATGTGCTATCCTGGTTATTACATGGTTCATGTAATAAGGCAAACTTCCATTCCTGGTATCTCACAGAACCTTTGCTGAGGTGAATTATTGAATAGTTTAAAAGACAAATTCCCCTCCCTTCCATAACATAAATTTTATGGGCAGTTTATGCAAAATAAAGAAAAAATAAATTCAAAACAATAATCAAACCTAAAATGTCGTGGATACAGTTATCAATCAAAGAACTCAGTATAACTGCAGATTAAACTGAAAACCTCCATAAACAGAAACCATTGAAGACTGGTAAATATAGCCTACCGTATTTTATAGGATACCTGACAGATATCATTTTGCAAAGTTCTGAAGTTTTTGTTTAAATTCTCCTTTTTTATATATAGCAGAAGGATAGAGACTTACAGAGGAGAATAGCTTCAAGTTCCTCAGACAGTCCACCCTTTCTCATAAACTGGCACTTACAGTCTCAGTAACTCACTCTGAGATATTACTTACAGTTGGGAACAGATAACACCAAGGTAACTGACTTCAACAGACAAAAGAGAGGGAAATAAAATATTCAGCAGATAAGCAGGGCTCTCTTTGAATTCTGAAACAGGAGAGAAATGGCTGGTTAATGCTGGATAGTTACTTCAAAATGTTCCTCCCAGTCAAACAAACTAAACGCAACATATGAGGTTTTAAAATCTCCAACATATCCGAGCAGGCAGAGCCATAACTAAAGTGTTATGGTGTTTTGTGGTAGGGCACCAAAATTTAGAAGGCACTGAAATCTGGAGGTCAATCTTTTAATGAATGATAGGAAAGTGGAGGACAGCCTCTTTCTTTCTTTTGTTCTTTCTTTCTTATAAACATTCTCTCCGTTTTCTTGGGGAATGCGTAGCATTAGGGCAGAGCGGGTGCTAGATTTCTTTCTTTCTTTCTTTCTTTCTCATAAACATTCTCTCTGTTTTCTTGGGGAATGGGTAGCATTAGGGCAGAGCGGGTGCTAGCTCTCCCAAGCATCAAATTTGCCAGTCATGGATCTGCAAGCGGGTACAAGGTGTCAGTGCATGAGCAATTCTAATCTTTGAAAGTAAAAGCAGGGTTGATGTGTAAAATCCCACACTAAGCAGTTATTGTCTTTGGTGACAATAATGGGTTATCCATTCCATTTTCCAACACTTCTTATTATGTGTTGCAAAGTCACTTCTAAATTAAGAGCCACCCTATAAATTAATTACCTTCAAAGGTCAGTGTCATTAACAGTCCCCTTTAGGTCTTGCAAACTAAAGATTGTGGCTTCCTTTATTAAGCAAAATCCAAAGAAACGAAACAGTTATCCTTAGAAGAGAATTTCCTGCAATGGGAGAGAAAAGAATAATTTTTTTAAAAAAAAACATGGTCTTTGTTATCTGTAATTTTATTAAGCATTTGTACAAAAAATACGTGATTTTTATTTTTTAAAAACTGCAGCTCAGTTATTCATTAAGCCGCATCTTTGGTTGGTTAAAAGTTTGAAAACTCAATTATATATCTGATTTAACCAATTAAACATTGCAGCCATGCTCTTAATCTGAATGTGTTCATGCCTTAGAAAGACTGAAATATTTCAAAATACTGAATACCTCAACTTTTTAAAAAATCACAACATTTTTGGCAGGTGGTCAAAATCTCATTCTGGGCATAACAATATTTGATTGAGAAAACTGAAGTCATGCCCATTTTGAACATTTATACTGTGGTGGAGCAGAGATTTGACCACTATGGGAAAACAACAACAGAAAGGACTATGTATGCACTCAACAGGATCACTGAAATGATTTGAAAGGATTGCCGAGGTCCCTCCTTCAGACTGAAGGACACATAAGTACAATGGGAGTGGCAATGACTTCTATTCTCCCCTTGTGAATAGAGTGGGCAGGGCGTTTGGCTTATATCTCAAGGGCACAAGAGAAAGCCTCTGCTGGTGGAAGCTTTTCAATTGGCACTGAGAGTTTGCTTTCACTTTCCCATAAGCTCCTCGCTAAGCTTCCTTCCTAACAGCTCTTCAAGGGGACAATTTTCCAACTTGCCAGATTGCATGGGGTTCTTCCAATCATAGCAGGAAAAGCTGCCTATCCCACGGACCATGCTCTTCAGAAAATGTAAGTGCCGTGTTTTCCTGCAGGATACATAAATGTTCAGAAACAGAACTTCTCAGAGATATGTTATTTTTAAAGCAACATGTTAAAAGTAATGTGTAAATAACAAGCTGTGAATGGCTTTGTGTGTGTGTGTGTGTGTGTAGAGGGAGTGCCAGCTAGCTTGATTCATCCTAAGAGGCTATTTTTGTGACTCGGACTTGCATAGCTGTTGCTAGTATCTTTCACGCTTCCTGTTTACAATAATCAACAAAGACATTTATCCATATTGTGATGATGAGAGAGAGAGAGTAACCATATGATCTCCCACTACTTTTCAATGGAAAATAATCTGATTTGGGGACTTATCTGTCAGTATAAAGCTCTCATGCTTTGGATTCTTTTACACAATATACAATAATTTATAACATATATAAAACCATGACATGAAATGAAACAATACGCTGTTTGGTGAAACTTTGCACAGTGACAGTTACAGATTTGCCAGTAAACAACAGACACAGTTTTTCCAGAATGGTTCCTGCAGCTGACACCATGGGGACTGGATTTTCAGAATTACTTCAATCCGTGGTGTTCCTCCCCTTCCCATTCCTTTCAAAGGACTGAAGGCAACAAGGAAAAAAAGGGAATATTTTCTCTTGCCATTAGCACTTCTGTCTGTGAAAGGAAAGAATTTCTGTCTGTGAAGGGAAGTCCTTAGATGTGGCAGTCATTTAAGATCCCTGTGTCTACTGGTTTGGATACTGAGGCTGTTTCCTATATTATTTGTTTGTTTGTTTGTTTGTTTGTTCGATTTATATCCTGCCCATCTGGTATATTCTACCACTCTGGGCGGCTTACAATATGTCATAAAGAATTAAAAACATAAAGCATTAGCATACAACAGTAACAAATAGTGCAGGAATATAATAAATAATAAATAGCAAAGCAAAAGAAATCAGAAGTTGACAGGAGGGAAGGCCTGGGTGTACAACCATGTCTTCAGCTGGCGTATGAAAGTATCCAGCATAGGGGCCTCGCGAATCTCCGGAGGGAGGTTGTTCCAAAGGCAAGGAGCTACCACCGAGAAGGCCCGGCTTCGTGTCTTTTCCCTCCGGGCCTCCCTCGGCGTCAGGCTCCTCAGTCCCACCTCCTGACTCGCACGGGTGATCCGAGTAGATCTTGGTGGGAGCAAGCGCTCCGCCAGGTATCGAGGTCCTAAACCGTTTAGGGCCTTATAGGTGAGCATTAGAACTTTGAAGTCAATGCGGAAATGGATGAGCAGCCAATGGAGCTTGGCCAGAACAGGAGAAATATGTTGGTGTTTTCTCACTCCGGTAAGGAGACTGGCCGCTGCATTCTGAACCACCTATAGTTTCCACATCAGCTTCAAAGGCAGTCCCACATAGAGCGCATTACAGTGGTCTAATCTCGAGATTACCAAGGTAGTGAGTGCCCCCGTATCAAGGTAGGGATGCAGCCTGGCAATCCGCCAGAGGTGGGAAAAGGCGATGCGAACTACCGATGCCACCTGGGTTTCCATGGTGAGCATCAGGTCCAGATGTACCCCCAGGCTGCAAACCCCACTCTTAGCAGCCAGGGTCACCTCCCCAAATGTGCGAGAACCACCCAGGTCACCAACCCCAGGGGTGCCCACCCTCAGAACTTCCATCTTGTCCGGATTCAACAGCACCAGAGTTAGAGTGGAAGTCTGGCTGGGCTGGCTACCTCGATACTGAGGGTTGGTCACAGTCTCAGAACAACAGACAGCCTTCAAACATCTGTTCGTTGTTCTTCTGACACGAGTAGGGACTGTGCCAACGCGGTATCTCCCTCTACCTGTGATCACCAGGATGTTACAAGGCCCCTCGCTGAGCAAGCAGGCCTTCCACTCCATATCAACAAAAAAGGAAAGAAAGGAAAGAAAGTAAAGAACAAGACCCTAAATAATACCACAGCTTAAACAAAGGTGCAAGACAAATACAAATACAAACAATATTGCTAATTCATGGTTGCTGCTCCATATTAACAACCTTACTTTTGAAGTATTCACTAGGAAAAGAAACCACATACTGTAATCTTTTGCTATTTTAATTATTTTCAGCATTTGCTATGGAACAGAGGCTCTTGGGTGTTTTTAATTGTTTGCCTCTCTAAAGTATTGTTCCCAGACGGAGTGGCAGAATGGGAGAACTATTATATCCTTAAGCTGTACTAGCCCACCCCCACCTCAGCTTAAAACATTTGCAGAGGTTGACTATGATTCCGAAATGATTGCATCATGCCCATGTCCATGCTTCTCACCACTTTTCCACATCTCTGCTGATACATTCATGCCACTAAGAACCCAGCAGAGGGACAGCACAAGGCCCTGCCATGCTAATCCAAGAACATCTGTAAAATCACGTGCTTGGCTTGGTTTGACAGAGGGGTATTTGTTTTCAGCACTACAACAAAGGATGATCTTCATTTTCAAATAATAAACCTTGCATTGTTCACATAGTCAGTGACCTTAAAGTTTACTCTTGAATCACTCCTTGGAATCCTGTCCCTTGCCTGTAAACTCTGTGTGCAACATTTTCCTGTATGTTAAGAAACAGTCACAACTAAAACTAGGTAAGGGGCTGT